AAGAAGAAGAAGAAGAAGAAGAAGAAGAAGAAGAAGAAGAAGAACAACAACAACAACAACAACAACAACAATAATAACAACAACAACAACAGCAAGGGGAGAACAGTGTGTAAGAGGAAGGAAGATGAAAAATAACAACTACCATCATTTTCCGTCGACAATCCATTGGCGACCAGTCTTGAGGATGATACTTTTGATGTGCTCCTGGTATACGGTGTTGTATTTTTCCAATCAAGTAGTCCCCTAATGGTGTTGTACCCTCACACCACTCCAACATACCACTGCGTTGGGTTAGTGGGATAACCTTGGAGGAAAGTAAAACAAAATTAGTACAGTCAACTCTCTCGTAAGCGACCACCTCGGGATCAGGAAAAAGTGGTCGTTTACGAGAGATAGTCGCTTACGAGAAAGTTTTTTTTTACAGAGTTTATATGGGAAACTGAACTAAACGGGAAATTTAAAAGGTGGTCGCTTACGAGGGATGGTCGCTTACTAGAGTGGTCGTTCAAAGAGAGTTAACTGTACAAATAATAGTTTACAAGAGTCAGTCAGTAAAAAGTAACGGACCTTTTAAACCATTTCTAAACCAATCACGAGATTCTCTGTATTTCTTTGCAAMAAATCGTGTTTGAAATAGCTTTATAATCAATAATCCTTTGACATCTAAATATCAAAATCGCATGTTCCATCCGAGAACATCTTCAATCGTTTTGTTTTGTTTTACAAAAATAATGCCTTGTTGAGAGGTTCTCTCTGATCGGTTCAAAATCAAAGAGGCGAATTTCCGTATTTGATAAAATCGAGCAAAGGTTCTCGGGTGTACATGRACCTTCAGTTTATCTGTGAAAAAAGTCTTCAACACTACCTTATACGTTCGTATCTTTAGCTTTCGTTTTCTCGTTTCAGCGTTTTTAACCAATAATTGGTTAACCATRCCAAACACTTGCTCCATGACAGCGTCTTGGCGAAGGTCATCTCTCCCCTACAAGAACCACAAGAAAAAGAGAACAATTTGAGTTTCTCAAACTCTCATTAGGGTTAGTTCACGATTTTTTCCAAGGAGGAGAAAGCAGAACCAGYACCTTCACAAGCTGTCGTCTCTCAATGCCATCAGATCCAATACACGTAATGATCTTTGGTAGATTAATCCCACCAGCAAGACAGAATGTTGAAGAAACTCTTGACAAGTACACCAGGTCATCGTACTTACACAGCGGATCCACCTTGACAACACAAAGATTTAATAAATCGATAGCAAATGTTTCTACAAATTTTCATGATGTACGATTTTCACGAGTTTTTTTGTGAGAAGCATTTTTTTCCTGTCCTTCCCATCAACCTCTTCGAGTTTGGCGGAGAAAAGGAGTAGCGACTGGGTACGAGTCTGAAATGCATTGATACTAGCTAGTCGTATACAACACTCTTAAAGGAATTTCACTGTTTCAGAGAGACTATACGAGCTCTGTACCTTCCCTTGAAAGCAATTAAGTTTATATTTCTCTGTTTATTTACATATTTGACCCTATAATTACCTATTCCAGTTATCAACTGTAACAAGAACATGCTACTTCAGAGAAACAAAGGTTATTGTTGATGTTTTGTAGCACTACTTATGTGGAATCCAATAATAACAATGCATTCCAGTCTTGGAATATAGTTATCAACGCTTTTGGAAATAGCTCAGGGCCGTAGCTAGTAAAAGGCCAACCAAGGCAATCGCCTCGGTAAAGTTTTGCCGATGCTTTTTGTTTTCATCACTGATATCATCTTAGACTCTCAGAGCCGATTTCGTACGACTGATTTTGAGCAAAAAAATATAAAAATAATATTAATCTTGTACGTATTGCTTGTTTCATAATTATTGCGTGATAAATTTCGCATTTCCGAGAGACTGAATTTCAAATTTTCTCGGGGGAGAATGCCCCCGAACTCCCCTACCTCATCCCGCCATTAATACCTTAATGTCCATTGTTGGTAAGGCGACGTGCTTAAGGTTGACTAACTTGTTAATCATTAGATGAGTTGGAAGCTTAAAAGGACCTGTAATGAAAGAACAGTTTTAAGTAGAAACAGTTACTCCTGAGGACAACCTCGAAGGTATGGCGGCCATTTTGGTAGGGTGACAAAAAAGCTTTCTTCCTGTAATTGCGTTGATTAACATCTAATTCAGCACAAGAAAAATCGTTAAAAGATTAATTTAAGCTATGGAAGTGAAACAATTACTAAAACTGTATACATAGAACCTCACAGATTGTGATAATGCGAGCATCTTGAACTTCAAGGTGTGATGGTGCGTTTTAAGGCAAACCAAAACAAAAACGTTTGATGACTTCGTCACATGCTATATTCGACGTGTGAATCAATGAAATAAACCTGTTTTACCTGTTTCTTTCTTCAAGTGGTTCACGTCCAAGTACGCAAGTTCGATGTACGCATTGCATACATTCTTGAGAGCCTGGACAAGTTCACCTCGCTTAGCGGCGATGTTTTCAATGAGAGAGCAAGCGGCGCTGACACGGGCCTAGAACAATTGAATACAAGATATGGGTATCGTAATATATGAGGAGTTTTGCAAATCTAGTAGACTCTCCCTGCCTTAGTACTCTATTTAGAACACTTCAGCCTGGATAATTCTTCATACCATACTATACATCAACCAATAATTCATCATATCGTAGCCTTCCTCAACCGATAATTCTTCATATCATACTCAGCCTCAACCAACAATTCTTCATATCATGTTCAGCCTCAACGAATAATTCTTCATATCATAATCAGTCTCAACCAATAATTCTTCATATCATACTCAGCCTCAACCAACAATTCTTCATATCATGTTCAGCCTCAACGAATAATTCTTCATATCATACTCAGCCTCAACCAACAATTCTTCATAACATGTTCAGCCTCATCAAATCATTCTTCTTATCATACTCTTCCTAAACAAATAATTGTTTAATAATGCATAACAATAACAATGCTCACTTCGTCAACGAATCCCTTGTTCTTTTTAGCGTTGTTTCTGGCCAGTCTTGACCCAGTCTTTTTGCCGCCACCCATGAATTCATTATCACGATCAGCGTTCGCCAGGGCCAACAAGATGAACATAGTATGGTGAGGATGGTCGATTGACACTCGCTCGATAAGCTACGATAAACGAGATTAAAGGACCATGGTCAACCATCATTCAATGCGGTCATGTTTAAGTTTTATTTACATATGGAAAATAAGGTGACTTTAAACGTCGCACCATTCGTTTTAAAGATCTTACAATATTTCCATTTATATAGTTTTTGCTTATACAGTCGACTTTTGTTATTACGGACACCCTCGGGACCGTAATTTAGTGTCCGAAATAGCGAGAATCCGTACTAACGGGAGCTACTTACAGTCATTTCTTTGTATTTTTCGCCGAGGATTCAGTATTTCGTGTCCGTAATATCGAGATGTCCGTAATATCGAGGTGTCCGTAATATCGAGGTGTCCGTAAGGCGAGAGTTTAGTGTATTACGAAGCACTTTTAATTTTTCAAAATAGTTTTGTTTTTGTTTCAATTTAGCAAAGAGCGAAGTTTGTACTACTTGTTTGTATCTCTTGTACATTGAAAAATAAACATGGCTTCATTGGTAGCGATTTTGTTAAACATTTTATAGACTAAAACGTTTTGAAAATGCTGTGTCTAGTTTGTCCGGCTCATACCTCATTCAGAGTTCTCTGGAAGTCATCGTTTTTGTAGGACTTTGTCCCAAGTCGAGCTGCAAGTTGGTACATCAACGGTAGAAACTTTCTTGTCTGTATGCATGTCAGACTCTCCTGCAGGTACAGAGCACACCATAAATCCGTGAAAAGAACTACTAATTAGTAAACAATAGTGTTTTTAAACGCCGTCCTTGGAAGTAAAACCAGATGTAAGCGTGAATAAGTCGAATGTAAACAAATACAACAGGAAATAAAGAGTTATTAGATAATGATGATGCGCTTTCGTTTTCTCAGCCGTTATTTTTTTGTTCTTCGTTGTGAAACATGAATAACAACACACARACACAAGGAAAACGGATCAACATGAACGTTACCTTGATAGTTGAGTTGACCAAGTCTTCATTAGCATTGTCAAACCACAAMGAACACAGCCTGAATACACGGAGGTCGTATTTGTCCTGATATAAATAGAGGTTTACATCTAATCATTCGCTGTCGAGTAAGGAAATGAGCGATTAAAAACACAACCAAGCAAGCAAACATGTTCTTACCCCTGCTTGAAGAGTCTTAATGTAATTCACTAAAGCCTTGTACAAGAAGTTCATCTTATTCTCGTTTAACAATCGCAGCTCGTCTTCGTCTATTTGGCTCTGTACTTCAAGGGTCCGATAATAACGATCGCCTTCCGAAGGGTTAAGCTTTTGAAGACGATCACATTCATCCTGGAAGAAAGCAAAATAGTGGAAAATAAACAAAACGAAACGAAACGAAACAAAAAAATAATTATAATAAAACAACAACAACAACAACAACAACAACAACAGCGAAAACAAAATGTTGTCCTACAGTCACTTCATTTGGTATTTCACATTAACTTTGAGACAAAGCCCGAGGCAGTGACATACAACTCTTAAGAGGTGAATTGATCTTTACTAACCTTTGCTTTCCGTACTCTTTGCTGTTTGTTTTCAAACTCGGCCGAGTTCATGTAGTCCACGATGTTCTGGTACTGCGTGTCTGCGAACCTTGCAAGGGAAAGGAAAGCCTGAAATACAATAAACCGTCCAAAATATTACCACTACAGCCTCGTTATAACTGACACCTTAACGAGTGATCAAATCACAATAGAGAGTGTCCGTTGTTAAGGGAGTTATCTATAGTACAGTCAACTCCCGTTATAACGGACACCTTCGGAACAGTAATAAGTGTCCGTAATAGCGAGTGTCGGTTGTAAAGGGAGTTATCTATAGTACAGTCAACTCTCGTTATAACGGACACCTTCGAGACTTTACTTAAGCGTCCGCTATAGCGAATGTCCGTTGTAAAGGGAATTTTTTAAGTAGAGTCAACTATCGTTATCACGGACACCTTAGCGACAGTAATCAACTGTCCGTAATAGCGAGGGTCAACAGTCAAAGAGAGGTCTGTCTCATTGCTCGTTAATTAATTCAAGATGGCGTCCGTATATGTTAAAACATCGATTTTGGAAAAGCATGACAAGAAACATCAATGATGCGTAATAATAAATCCCTTACTTCTAACTCTGTGTCCTTGGATYCATTTTCCATATTTTCCAGCAAGTTTACTGCCTTGAATGAGATTAAAAGATAGTATTTATTACARTATTTCATCAAAATATCAATTTGTTAAGCGCTGTTTTTGTTCGTTGCTTCTTTTCCTTGTTCAAAKGKTTTCTYCCATGTATTTCTGTCTTAGAAACACGTCGTCATACCTTTTCAAGATATTCTTCAATGATTTTGTTTGGGTTCTCGGACCTAGTCTCCGCCAGCCAACTACCATAGAGTCCTAGGGCCTGGGGATAGAGGATTGCCGCTTCCGTATATTGGTCTTGCATCTGGGAAGCGGAAAAAAAATTATTAAACAATTCAAAACTATGTAAAATAGCAAATTAAAGAAAAAATTAATTGAGAAAAGAAACTGCAGTATTTATCATTCTTAAAAATCATTTATTAGAGTTAACTGATTTATCAATTATCTATTAATTTATTATCAAACCTTATCGAGCAGCTTTGTCAGCATTCTTAATTGGTGCATCGCAGTTTGTCTTTCATCACGAACCCAACGTAACCTCGCCTCTTCTACACGCCATGACCACGTGACTCCAAGATTGACACCATCACGTGACTGAGCCTCCATGACGTCATTATGTAATTGGCGAATAGTAAATAAAGCTTTTTCTGCAACCTGTGTTGAAAACAATGAATAGTCACTGTTTACACGAGACAGGATGCCCATGGTAGGAAGTACAGCAAAACGTATGATTTAAAAGAGTTTGACTCTTGACTCAATTAAAATGGGGCCTCCTGTTTTATGTGAAAATGGCCTACTTAGGATACCGTTGCACGTGAGACTTTTTCGCAAAAAAAGATGCCTCGTCATTAAGTACGATGTACCCCTGACATGAAACTACGAAGATATCTTACTTAAAGGATCCCAACGAACCACAATACATCGCGCGCTCGTGTTATTGTTTACATTCGTTTAAATGTGTCAAACATACAATAAATTATAGATTGATAGTACCTGTGAGGTACTTAGTTAAAGGTATTTTTGTCCAAACTGAAAGGATGGAAGACGATTCGCGCTCACTTTAAGAAATCCTACGAATCCGTCATTTCGTTTCCACCTAAAATGGCGCTTCGGTTCGCAAGATACAGCGGTTGTCCGTGATTTTTGACGCACGCTACAAGAGCACTTGGATTACCAAAGACATACCTGTGGGTTCTTGGCTTCTCTTGCTACCTTTGCCTGTACCTCAAGGTGTCCCACAAGCCCCTTGTAAATGGGTCCAAGACCGTCTAAAGACTGCGCACGCTTCACTTTCACCAGAGTTTGAAGCATGGACGTACGAAGAGCGAGGACTGGTTCTAAAAACTCGAAATCTGTGTCCGGCAAAGGAAATCTTTCGTTCCATTCTGATAGGAAATCTGAATCTTCGTTGAAATCCCTGGAACAAGAGGATAAACGAATGAGTGAGCGAATGAGTAGATGGACAGCAGAATGAATGATTTGATGCATGGATGAATAAATGAATGGCATGGATGGATAAATGAATGAAAAAGGAAAATAGTAAAAAGAAAAAACGGGAAATTACGACCGGAAAGAAAGGAGAAATCCAATAGTTGAGTTTCGCGATCTCTTTTAAACTTTGTTAGCCTCAATTCTGTGCAAAATATTCAAAATTTTTGATAAAACTCGTGAAATTTCAAACTATTCCCATTGTCTTCTATACTCACAGATCTCTTGCATTTGCACGGACTGTTAGTAAATAAAAGAATTTATTACATGGTTTTGAGGCTAACGCAGCGTAAAAGAGATCGCTAAAAGGGTTTATTCAGTTATAAGAAACAATTATTACATGACTTGGATAGTACGCGCGTTCTGATTGGCCCACGCGAGGGCGATATTTTGCCATCTCCGACCGATTACCATGACAACGGTCCGAAAGTCATATCATATCCAGAGCGCGCGTTTGTTGACATTCATAATTTTCTAGATTCGGAGAAAATTCTTACAAACACTCTAATATTGTAAATTGAAAAGCAGAGAACGAATAAGAAACATACTTGTTCAAGCACAAACTAAAGTGCTGTAGTTCCATCAGCTGCTGTAGTTGTACAAGGTACGGGTAGACACTGCGCACACTCTCTAGACTCACATGACTAACGTCAGACACTAGGCGAAGCCTATTAGAGTNTAAGAACAGCAAATACATCAGATACAAAATGACTTCATTTATTTTTCAGACTTTCATCTGCTAGTTGGGGATTTAACACGGCTTTAACAGCACAATAAACGGTAGGGCGGGTGGATTAACTTCTAAATCAAAGGAAATGATCTGTTTGGCYGTCTTTTTGCCCTCTAAGGGCCGGAAAATGCMTGGRTTTTAACATTGTACATGCATTAGTTTCTACCGATGGTCTAAAGTGAACGAACTACTTCTGCTTAWACGAAATATGTTCGTTTTTCTACACAGAACTTTCTTTGACGCCGTACGAAAGTCATTTAGACACATTATATACAGCAAAGGACTGAAACATGGGTTTATAAGAAGAAGAAAATGATCAATTATATATTCCACAGCGTCTAAAGCACTGCTACAACTTGTATCTGGCTCCGAATCTTCGAGCCTTAATTGATAAATYATTTGTACAAACATGTAGAYGTATTTAGGAATCCATGAACATCCAACKAGGAGCACGGAAAATAGTACCATGCGTGCWGCGTTTAGTTTTCTTTTTAACAAGGTTCGTCTTCGTTGCTCTGACATGTTGGGAATTATAGGCTGTAGTCTAGTTAATCTAACCAATGTTGCAATGCTAATAACTAAAACCAGGCAATACAAAGCSACATATATTRTGGGTAGCACAAGAAWAAGTACTAATAGCATAAACATTTCGCTTGTGGGTGRAGMACAGAGTKTCTGCGAGGYATCATCGCTGTGTTGRAGKCTGTAAAAATAGAAGTTATACCCAGCTAAAGCCATAGGAATYAACCAGCAACATCCAAGCACAGCAGTACGCTGTTTCAAGCTACAAGGCCTTGATCTATGTACAGTTAATTTCGTCGCTCTAAATCTCTCAATGCTGATAACAAATAAAGTTACTAAAGTACTCAAAGTAGACGAGTCACCTAAGAATGGTAATCCCTTGCAAATAACTTCGCCCAACAGTTCAGGAATGCCATCATATATGTTGTAACTTAGCATCCATTCAGTGGCGGAGATAGACACTGTCAAAATCACCAAAATATTTCCCAAGGCCATGTTGATAATTAAGAAATGAAGATATCGTTTTGCGGTATATTTGGTAGCGAGTATTATGACAAATATGTTGCAAACAATCCCTAAGGATCCAAGTACGAAGAACGCGATCATTTTAACCAGATTTGAGAATATTTCGAGGTCTGTGTACAACACGCAAGAAGTGCAGTTCAAATGAGACTTGTTTGTGGTTGTACAAGGTTCATTCATGGCCGAAGAAACACAAAAAAAATCGTAGAAATAAATAAAATAAGAAATAAAAAGTCAAATTTAACATAAACTATAAGAAAAAATATATTAAAAAATATGTCAAAAAAGTACGTCATAAAATAATAAACAACGACAAAACTTTTAATAGAAAAAAGATTATTAAACGAGATTTGAATCTTAAGACTCTAATGTGGAAAATAATAAGAAAAAAACTTCATTAAAAATCCTTATTAATATAAGGAAAGCAATAAAGCGATCAGATCATAACAAATCATATTATTAAGCAAAGAAAATTATATAAACTTAAAGAAAATGAAAATAAAAACAGAACACAAAAATGTCACAAATGAACCAAGATGTCACTTATTAAAAGGAGCTTTCCCACTTTTAAACTCCTCTTTGTCAGTTAAACACCGCAGATCTTTGCGTTTTGTAGTCTTTCTCACTAGCAAACCCTCTAATAAAAGCCTATTCAGACGTATTTAACTTAAAAGACAAACGAGTCCTTATATCCTATTCGTCTAAAAGGAAAACTGTTTGTTTTGTTGATGGAGGACAAATATTTGAGTTGGTTATGACGTGATCTCGTCAATGTTGTCGGTAACAACAAGATAAAATACTCAAAGTTTCTCGTTTCTAAAGCGCTTGTTTAATAAAATTGCGATTAGAACACTTAATTGAAGTAGGTCTTTGCTTAAAAGTCTTAAAAGGTTGTCAGAACACAAAATTATAGAACAGCTATTTATAAAATTATGAAAAAAATTACCATTAAGTTGTCATGTGACGGGCAGTGATCTACCGCAATCACTTTTGAGCTTTTGTTCATGTTGGAACTACAAAAATACATCGTAATATAAGCAAAAACGTATCCCTTATGATCTACGAATGGAGATATTGTAAGATTCGACCTTAAAACTGACGAAGCGGAAGATTGGGAATGGATATTTGAAGTCACGTCTARKTCCATAAAGAATAATCTAAAAACGACCGCATCGATTGCTAATGAACCATTGCCCTATMATCTCWAATATTTTAAAGTTTGGATTGCTGATTCTTAAGGCAGGAATGATCTCATCGTACAAAAATTTTTGCTTTCCTCGATGTCTTTATAATCAACTTCCGTGTTGTGCGGTGCCTCGTTTAAGGAAGTTTGTTTAACTTCCTGCAGACAAGCTTAACTTGACAGATTGACAATTAGTCGTAGCACTTAAAATACTTGCTTTCGATTTTGAGTGTGAGACGAAACCTTCATCGCTTGAAAACGTGAAACCCTTCTGTGGGGTATCTCCGAGCCAAACTTGAACAATTAAAATACGTATGAATACATAATAACTGACTATGAACTTATCAGTGGAAATCCATTAGAATTTTGAGGGGAGGGGGGGAGATTTTGTCCGCGCAAGAATTTTTTTAGGGCTTCAGACTCGCCCTTGTACATTTATTGTTTTTTTCTCAGAGCAGCTAAGGAACGCCTGGTTCTCATTTTCCATTTCTAATTTCTTTAATTTCTACTTAAACAGCACAACACTTGAATGCAAACATCGCATGCAACATGCCTAAGTTGTCGTTTCAATATGCCTATAGAGCTCAAATTTTCAAGAAAAGCTTATTAAGCAATATTCGTTTGATATTCAGCGGTTATTTGGGCAAAAATGGAAATGTCTATGCTAATGGGTCAAAATGTAAACGGCGTTGACGTCAGCAATATGATAGCACGCAAAATTTGTAAACGTCTAATTATACCATACTGCATGATTGCTAAAATTTGCATTTTGCTTCACAGGTTTTTAGTAATTCAACTTCTTTTATTAATATATCACTAATATTGATATTATCCAATATAATAATATCGTTACGACTATTAATTTTTGTATTAAAATATTGTCCACTTTAATTCCATGGCTACTGGACTTTCAAGTTCTATCATTCAGTTTAGTCTTTAGAGGAATAAAACCATTGGTTATCTTATCTAATTTTGCTCAAGTTTATTCTGTCTCTCAGCTGCTTTGAGCTCCATTGTCTTTCCCTTGAAAACACGGAAAACACTCCGTGTTCGACGCATGAACAGCAAGCTTTTCGCTGCTTCTCTGAAATCGGCCAAGAACACTAGATAGATACACGGACTCAAAGTGGAGTTGAAAACAGGAAGGGCAGTGAAAAATACGTTCACAGCCGAAATATCCATGCACGAACTGTATTTCAAAACTTTGAAACGATATAGCAGAGCGACGACGAGGAGAGGGAAATAGCTACAGCTGTAGAGAAGAAGCGAGCACAGAACCATATGAACTATTCTCTTCATTCGCCGCGCTCTTGCTACTCTCTGTGTCTCGGCGAGGCTCCCTTCGATTCCACGTGACTTAGAGAGTCTATCTAAAGTTACAATGCCAAGGAAAACGATAATTGAGCTTTGAATAATAAGTATTGAAATAGACAGCACTGAGAAGATGTGGTGGAACTCACTCGAGTACCGACAATCACCGTTGTCAACTTTTAAACTGGGAAATAAGATTGCGTTATAAAGCGAGGGGATTAACCAAGACAACACAAGGACTACAGTCGGACTCTTTGGTCTTCGTGTTGCCCGTAAGATTGTTGCTCTGAATCGATCAATGCTGATTATCAAGAGAATTGTGGAAGTCACCGAGACGGAAACATCCTTAAGAAAGGGCACAGTCTTGCACAACATTTCAGCTAAGATCATTGGGGTGTTTTTGTATATATTGTAATCCATACAGCCTTTTGCACAAATTATGAGACATTTTTATATATATAAATACAGCCTTTTGCACAAATTATGAGACATTTTTATATATATAAATATACCTAACCAAATATCAAAAACACCCCAGAAATTATGGGATACCGTCGCTGATATTTTGTCTGTAACAACCTGATGCTAGGCAATCATGACAAAATATAATAGAGATATACCATAATTTCTGGGGTGTTTTTGATATTTGGTTAGGTA